TTATCCATAACCACCGTGGCATTGCCTTTGTCTGCCGGAAGAATGATCAAATCATTATTTTCCTTTAGACTACGCAGTGCAAGGCGTTCCTCCCTGGTGATATTGTCACTAGGGGGGGTGGCCTTGTGGAGGATGTTGGACAACTTTCTCCGGATCTCGTTGCTGGTCTCCTGAGGAAGATGGTAAATCGCTGTCTCGGTGCGACTGATGATTTCCTCGGTGGGGATCTTTTTGGGGGCAACAGCGAAGTTGTGTCCTTTTGCCAACACAGATACTTGTGCTTCACTAAGCTCATATGTGCTCAGATTCTTCACAGTGTGAGTGAGGGTCGGGACTTTCTCCTGGGGGATCAACTTCCTGAACTTACCCCTCTGACTCTCAGTTCTCATCTCAGCTGTTCGGACTGCTTGTTCATTGGTAACACGATCAAGAGTCTCCCACAGCTGAGGTTCCAACTGCTGAGCCAGAAGCAGGTGAAGATCGAGGAGTTGTTTGGAGAGATGGGCCAGGTTCTTCTTAGCTGCTGTTATTCTCTCCTTGACCAGTCTCAGCGAAGTTTGGCGAAGGATGGCATTTGCCTGCTTCGAGGGAACAGGATTCCTCAGACGGAGGAATTTTGGTACCACTTGATGGTCACGGCACCTTTTCAAAAAAGTTAGGGAGCACAGTTGGACGTGCAAGGACTTCCTAAGTTTGGTGAATAAATTCACTGACCCAAGAATAGCCTCGCCGTGGAGGCGCTAAATCTTAGTTTTGAGGCTTTCGCGGCCATGATTAATGAAATCTTTGGCTTCCGGATGGATGCCGCGTTTGGATTCAGCGTTGCGCCGACGTTTCGCAAACATTGCAGTCTGCATCTTCAGGGCTATGAGCTCCGATTCTGAGCTCCGATGTCTAAGGATAGTCCTTATATGCCTTCCCTTGTGGTGGCGGGAGAAGGGGAAGGGGGGGTGGTGGTCAGCCAATCATATTTTTTTTAATTGATCAGCTGGTCAATTAAAAACCAGCTGATCAATTAAAAATTATTGACCAGCTGATCAATTAAAAATATATGATTGGCTGACCACCCCCCCCCCTTCCCCTTCCCACACCACCGCAAGGGAAGGCATATAAGGACTAGCTCTAGACATCGGAGCTCAGAATCGGAGCACATAGCCCTGAAGATGCAGACTGCAATGTTTGCGAAACGTCGGCGCAACGCTGAATCCAAACGCGGCATCCATCCGGAAGCCAAAGATTTCATTAATCATGGCCGCGAAAGCCTCAAAACTATGATGGGGAATTTAATTCTTCGTCGAATTGCCTTTTTTTCATCCCTTAATCTCAATTAGGAGGGGAGAGGTGAATTTTTAATTACCGGGANCATATAAGGACTAGCTCTAGACATCGGAGCTCAGAATCGGAGCACATAGCCCTGAAGATGCAGACTGCAATGTTTGCGAAACGTCGGCGCAACGCTGAATCCAAACGCGGCATCCATCCGGAAGCCAAAGATTTCATTAATCATGGCCGCGAAAGCCTCAAAACTA